TGGCTGAAGTGTTTATTTCAAAAATATGTTCATTTGGCTGTGGACTGTTGACACGTTGCTCACAGTTTGACTATAGTTTGCGTAGCTCCTGGGTGTTTTCTTTTAAAAATAAACAAAAGCTGTACAATTATTTACATTTGAAGACTTTAACTTCATATTACACCCTATGGGGCCTTACCCTACCCCTCCCTCAGCTCCATCTCCCCGTCAAGATGCACATTATACAGTGGGTGTAACACCTCTCAGCATTAATTAGAGTTACACATCCACTGAGAGCGATAGACATATAAATGCTTTAGGGCCTGATCCAGAACTCACTGAAGTCGGGGGAAGGACTCTCATTGACTTCAGTGGGCTTGGATTGGACCTTTACGTTGGCCAATATTACAAGATTTGCAGTACAAACATTTACTCCCAGAGGAAATCTGTGCCAAAAATTCTGCGCACAGTATTTTTAAAATTCTGCAAATTTTATTTGTCAATAAATAAATGTGGAGGCTGACACAGCGCAAGAGCCAGGCCTGCCTCAGAAACCCTCCAGGGCCCTGCTCCTCTGCACCAGGTGAGGGCAGGCAGGCTCAGGCCGGTAGGACCCAAGTGTAGAGGGGTCAGTGTGGGCAGATCCAGGTGTGGGATGAGGAGATTCTGTGTGGGACAATCTGAGTGTGGGCAGCTCAGAGGGGAGTCCAGGTGTGGCGGGGAGCTGGATGCCCAGGGGCTTGTTGGGGGGTTCCAGGTGCAGGGGCAGTGGGACTCTGCAGGGTGGGTGCAGGTGAAGGTAGTTGGGATTCTACAGGGAGCATGGGGGGGATAGGGGTAGCGGGGGGGTCTGGATGTAGGGGGCTCAGCAGGGGCATCCGGGTGCAGCTGGTTGGGGCTCAGTGGGGTGGGACTCTGGGTGTGGGGGACTTGTGGGTAGTCCAGGTGCAGAGGGGGATGGGGCTCATTGGGGTGGGGGTTAGAGTGTGGGGGGCTTGTAAGGGATGAGACTTTGCAGAGGGGGTCCAGGGCTCTGGATGCAGGGGGTGAGGCTCAGCTGGGTGGGGGACTGGGGGGTGTCCGGATGCATGGGGATTTGGTGGACGGGGGAGCAGCTCCCTGTACAGTGACCCCTCCCACCGTGGCTGAGAGGCAATGGAGGCAGGAAGCGGGGGAGGGGAGGGGGGGGGAGATGCGGAGCTTCCTGCAGTTGGGGGTGGGTCTGACCCAGCCCAAGTCACTCCTTGCAGGGACTTGCAGCTGAGCCAGGCACAAGGTAGGAGACACTGGTTGGGGCGTTCCCAGCCCCCTCTTCCCCTCCTCTCCGCAGTGACTTACCTCTCTGCCAGCAAACTCTATGGTACATTTTAGCATTGTCAATACAAAAATATGCAGCATGTTGAAAGTATGGGGGCAGAGTAAAAGAACATGTCTGCAGGGGGGTGCTGTACCAATTGCATGTTCCTGTGAATAGTTGAATGCAGAATTCCTCACCTGCTAGACTAGTCCTTAGAGCACCCAGGCCTTTGAGAGCAGGACTGAGCACACAATTGTAGGTCTTGCTGAGCTGGCTAATTCAGCAGTGTCAGCTCTAATGGGTGTCCTGATCCAGGCCTGCAGCCGTTACCTTAACAAAGGGGTTCTAGCGGTGTGAGAACTCTGCAAGCCCTGTACCTCAGCCTCACCTGCTCCATGCTGACAAGGCTGCAGACTGCACCAGAGCCCGCTCAGGGCTGCTGCTGCTGCTTCTCCTACATCCGTAGCCAGGAGTGACCCCTCCACCATGCAGGAGCGGGCTAGCTACCACTCTGCATCAGGCTACTTGAGACTGTCAAGTGATGGGAGAAGGAAGGTTTAGTGGGAGGTGAGAGCCTGCCCCTCCCTTGTATGGGGAGAGGAGGAACTTCCCCGTCCATCTGCCTCTCTTGCGATTACAGCTGTGTCCTCCCTCCCCCCTGTCACTTCAGCTGCTACAGGTTGCCCCACTGAGGCTATGTCCTAACTGCAGAGTTAACTGGAGTAACCTCTCGAGTTAGCCTAGCTCAAGTGAGAATGAAATAACACGCACGCTACAACCAGCCATTATGTTAGCAGCACGGAGTGGTTGTGTTAGTAGCTGATGAGCTGTTGTCTTGTCCCCCCGACGGACCAGCCAGCATGAGTTAAAAGCACCACAGCTCTGGAGTTAAGGGGTTGTGTGTGTGGATGGGACTCAAGTTAGGACAACATTTGTTATAACGAGGGTTCACTCTGCAGTGAAGACAAGCTTTGAGTGCCACACTGGGCTTTAATATTGCCCTTCCCCTCAGTTAATTTGTCCACTAGGCCTCACTTCTTAAATCTGTCCCTGTCAGGCAGGCCGGTGGCAGTGCACCGCCTACATGCACAAATAGCCCATAGATTCTTCTCACAAGGTAAGGACCAACGCGCAAATCCTTAAAGGTATAGTACATAGACGTTGCCCTGCTCAACACAGCAGTACTTAACCCTAGGCGGCTTGCTGCCGGGTGGAATGGTCAGTCTTGTGCTAGGCTCCCCATATAGTGCATAGGGAGAGCTAGACACCTAAGGAAGGAATTGGCAAGGGAGCCGCCTAAGCTAGCTGGGAGTGAAATCCCGAGGAAGGACTTGGGGCAAGGAGAAGAGCTTAGGCACCCAAGCGGCTGACCTGGTGCGGCTAGCTGCTGGGCGCCTCCCTCCATGTGGCAGTCCCAGCTGCGAACCCTCTCCTGGAGTGAGGCACCAAAGACAGGTCAGCTGCTTAGGTAGCCCATGGCCTGGCAGCGGAAACAAACTTTCTCTCTTCTGCTCGCGCTCTCCCACACTTGCTCTTGTCCCAGCTGTATTTTGTACGGGAGCTGTGCTGCCCCCATCGATCGGAGACCTGCATCCAGTCCTCCTGCTGTGGTGTGACAGGTGTGGCTTAATCATGCTCTGAGCACACCTACAGGACTTGGCCCTGCTGGTGAGATAGGCGTTCCCCTTCCCCTGCCCAATTTGAGACTCTGGCTTAGGGGCCTACAGGGTGTCAGCTTGAGCAAGGCCTCCAAGCTGCTCATTAGCTGTGGGGCAGCATCACCATTTAGGTGACTTTGCAAATGCCGACCAGCATTTGGAGGTGCCTCCAGGGTTAGGTGTCAGCTTTGAGAATATCAGTAATGCCTGAATGTGGACTTAGTCGCCTAAGAACCTTTAAGGATCTGGGCTGTAGGGATTTTCATATGAGTTTGCCTGAATAAGGACTGGGATTCAGACCCTTTACCACAAGATGGGGCTCCAAACCTTATGACTGCTCTTTCCAGGGAAAGGATTAAAAGGAATGCAGTCATGATGGTGGGTAAAACTCCCGAAAGTGCCAGATCCTCAAAGGTATTTCGGTGCCTAAATAGATTTCATTGAGAGTTAGCTGCTGAAATACCTTTGAGGATCTTGGCCTTGGGGTTTTAGGACCCTAAACTGCAATGACTTTCAATGAAATATAAGCTTCTAAACCACTTGGGCACTTTTAAAACTGTTACCCAAAATGGTTATTGACTCTCACATAGGCAAAAAAAGAGGGACTGATGCAAAAAATGTTCTCCCTTTGCCTGGGGTGATCCTGTGTCCCCGGGCCAGACTCATTGCAGAGAGGGAGAGTGAAGGACTGGGAAATCTCTGTTTTACCATTTAAACAATTCTCGTTATTTATCACCAAGGAGAGAGAAAAGGCTGCATAGAAAACACATGTGCAGTAAGAGCCTGGTTTTCAGGGCAGCTTAGCACATGTTTATACTGTTTTCCTGTTTCTAAGAGTGCTCAGCAAGTGCAATGGGAAATAGTGTGGTGGCCTGTTGGTATGGCGAGGGCAGGCTGCCCTGGGAATTTTTTTAAAAAATGTGACCCTTGGTGCAGACTTTTCTTCAGACATGTTTGTAAGAGCCCGAAGGATAAGTAGTCCTGGCAGGGTGCCAGAGATGGGGTGAGTCCCATCAGAGACAGAAATCACCCCAAATCTTCCCTCTATCTGGTGGTAGAATTTAAACCAGAAGCTCCCAAGGAACCCCTTCTTCCCACCCATCACTGTGCAATAATGTCATAACAGCCTCAATTAAGGACGGAATAGGATCAAAAAGGTTGAGTTTTTGTCCCGAGAACTACCAGCTGCATTGGCCAATATCGCTGCCCTGCTGTGGCCCGGTGGTGAGGTCCCACCAGTTTATTTGTGTGTGCGTGGCGGGACGCTTGCTCTGTATAGAAATGCAGCAGACTGACATTTCAGAGGTGAAAGGACTCTCATTGCAGCTTATAAAACCAGCCTTTGTGAAGGAACAATGGGCCTGGCTGGGACTTGCTTGCTTTGGAACTGCTTCACCCCTTCACTGCAGAAAATTAATACACTGATATGTTATATGCAGCTAAAGTAAAGAAAACAGATCAGTAACATTCCTGTTATAACTGTACTGCTGGTATTACATTTAAAAAGAACTTCTAATTGGTTCATTGGGGAAAAAATACTGTTTTATAAGTATCAAAATAGGATTCATTGTTAGCAATTAGGATTGCTTAAAATAAATGGAATCTTAGCTTTAAAAGGTGTCTTGAGTTTTTAGCTTAAAACCAGTCGGGAAAAAATCTACCTTGGGAAGTACAGTGTTTGGATACCTACCTAGAAGGCCTGCTTGCCTGATCCAGTATGCCAAGCATATGTTCTTATGTATGTTATTTCTTACGTAGTCCGCAGGCTGCAGCTGTGAGTTTGGTGCTTTGTGAAACAGCATATCGTAGTACAATTTCAAGGTGATATTGGGAGTTTGCCACAAAATTCCTTTCGCCATCATGTGATTTTTGAGCAGGTCCACCTACGTGCTGGGTTGGGAAATGGTCCGCTGATGGTATCAAGGAACATAGAAATGTTTCAGATCAGTTTCCTGGACATACAACAGTTTCATTAGTGAGCAGCCTGGAGATTTGCTGGTGTTTCCGTGACTAGATCGCGCAGCTCTAAGATTGTGATTTTGTTGGGTTTTTCCCCCCTTCTCCAGGGATTGCTGTCTGCAATATCCCATCAGCAGCTGTGGAAGAGACTGCAGATTCCACCATATGCCATGTCCTAAACCTCTACAGGCGGAACACGTGGCTGTATCAAGCACTGAGGGAAGGGACCCGGGTGCAGAGTGTGGAACAGATAAGGGAGGTGGCCTCAGGAGCAGCTCGGATCAGAGGAGAAACTCTCGGCCTCATTGGATTTGGTATGTTGGCAACTTTGTGGGACAAAATATCCAAAGCAGAGCCATCTGCTTTTGCAGTGATCTAATGGAATCTTGACCTTGGAGGAGTACGACTTTCAGGACTTCGATCAGGGATGGGCAACTGGTCGCCCGGGGGCTGCATCCCACTAAATAGATCATTTTATTTGGACCCCTGGTGTCCAACTTGGGGCAGGCAATCTGGTGGTATCAGGGCCAGGAAGGGGGCAGGGTGGCTGTGACATGATACTGTGGCGAGAGCCAACAGGCCGGAGTGGGGAGCCGGGCCCAGCCCCGGAGCAGAGGAGCCAATAGTGCGGCATAAATGCGGGGCAGGCTCCCTCCCTCAGGACCCTCTCAAAGGGTTGGAATGGATTTTGTGGCCCTCCACTACCTGAAAGTTCCCCATCCCTGACTTAAATCTTTTATATCAGCATAGCTTATTTTGCTACATTTACTGGACTGTGTACTACTGATCTGAGCACTTTTGTAGCGATACAGCTGCAGCCATGCTAGGGGTTCCACCAATTTAACAGTGTTTCTAAGCCACTATAGTTACGTGGGAAAAGAAGCCATGTGCCCTGATTTTCCGGCAAAGGAGCCTGTTCTTTTCCTGTTCAGAATTGTGAACCCAGCTTCCTCTGCGAAGAGGAAGCAGATTTCCAAGGCTGCCAGGACAGGACTTTGGTGAGCCCCATCTCCTCAGTGCTTTCGTAAGCCTCTCGTGCACTCTCCCTTTACCTAGGATTACCATATTTCCACAATCAAAAAAAGAGGACACGGGGGAGCCCCGCCCTATCCCCGCCCCCATCCACTTCCTCCCACTTCCCATCCCCTGACTGCCCCCCTCTGAACCCCAACCCCCCCGCTTCTTTTTCCCTGACTGCCCCCTCCTGAGAACCCCCCACCCTAACTGCCCCCCTAGGACCCTACCTGTCCCCTGACTGCCAAAACTAAAGCTAAACCAAAAACCCCACAAAACCCCCGCAGCAATGAGTCTTAGAGCCTGGGTCAACTGACGGGCTCACGGGGCTTGTGCTGTGGGGCTAAAAATAGGAGTGTAGACATTTGGGCTGGAGCCCAGGTTCTGAAACCCGGTGGGGGGGGGGGGGAGACAGTCTCAGAGCCCAGGCTCCAGTCCAGGATCGAACATCTACACTGCTGGTTTCAACCCTGCAGCGTGAGCCCTGCAAGCCTGAGACTCCCGGCCAGAGGGATTTTTTGCTGTGCAGACACCCTCTGTCTCTCAGACTATTGAAGTTTGATGGCCCTGTGTTAACGGCTGGTGTGCAATAAGACATTGCTGGTGTACGTCATGACAGTGTCTCGCTGCACGTTGGGCATGAGGCCAGACATTAAATGTCAGCGTGGAAGCATTGGCCAGTGGTTAGAGTACAAGGTTGATAGAAGATATATTCTAACAATATATAGCCTTTGTGTGATGCTGTTCCTCGTCACTGCCCATCACTAATGAATCCTGCCAGTACCCCTGGGATGCAGGTAGGTCGGCATTGTGCATTCTAATAACTGGGGAAAGTGAAGGAAAAAGAATAAGTAAGTTGTCCAGGTCACACCGCCAGAATTCCAGCTCAGGAGGCCTGGCGCCTAGCCCGGTGCTCAGACCCTGCCTGTCCTTTTATTGTATTGAAAAATCCCTCATTAAAGAAATAGAAGGGTACTGGTTAAAAGCTGTTTTACGAAGCTAACACCAGGCCCTAATGTAATGAAGTAGTTTTTCCATCTTCTTTCCCTGCAGAGAATGATTCCCTCTCCGTCCCAGCTCCTACTGCCTCTGGGCACTGCTCTCCCTCTGCGTGAGTGGGTCCCTCTCAGGGCCGGCTCTAGGATTTTTGCCGCCCCAAGCAAAAAAAAATTTGGCCGCCCCCCCCCCCCCCCCCCCCCCTCCGCCCCTTCCGAACCCCTTCCCCAAATCCCTGGCTCCGCCTCCTCCCCTCGTGGTGCCGCATTTCCCCCCCCCCCCATTGTTTCCTGTGGCCCCTCCTCCCCCCGCGACCTCCGCCTGCTCCGGAGTGGAGGTAAGCTAGGGCGGGGGAGCGCAGGAAGTAACCGGGGGGGGGGGCGCAGGAAGTAACGGGGGGGATAGAGGAACCGCTCCCCGCTCCAGCTCACCTCCGCTCCACCACCACCGCCGCCTCCCACTCTCCTGCTGCTAGGTAGTCAGGGTGTATATGGCCGGGGGAGCCCCCGAGCTCAGAAATTCTTCCCTGTGCAGCCCGGCCAGGTTCCAGAGCTAGAGGCTGGTCCTTGCACCCTGCACCCCATGCTGCTGTTCTCAAAATCAAAGAAAGGGCACCAAAATACAAGTTTGCCCAGGGTGCCATTTTCCCTAAGGCTGGCCCTGCCCTCCTGCATTTCTGTGACAGGAAGTGTGTCCTCTTGACTCAGGAGAAGAGCCGGAAGGAAATTTTCCAATGAAAATGTAGTAGGAAAATGCTAATTCATTGAACCCGAAATAGTTCATGGAAACAGCATCAGTGAAAATGAAAAGAATCCTATCAGGGTGCAGCCATGGAGTGGCTAAGGAAACAAATCTAAAAATAGCCATGTTGCCAGTGTTGCAGATGGGGGACATAGCAGCTGCATATGTATGGCCAGAAAGTTTGTACCTCTTTACCTGATGGCTTGCCACATGTTGCCAAGAGGAAGCTACAGCTCAACTAAGGCTGTGTGGAAGCTGCCCAGTTCTGGAGAAAAGCAAACCCCCTCCAGGCTCTGACCCAAAGGGAAAAAAACAGTTTAAACAGACAAAAGGTGGAACTTGGACAGGGAAGAAGGGGAAAAGCTATTGGCCATAGCTTGGCAGTGATTACTTGTTACATGCATCTTTGTGGGAACACAACTGGAATTGAAACATTTTAAAACACGACCATGGTTAAGCAGTTGAAACTGTCGTTAGAAAATCCACCATGAGGCTTGCCCCATGGTTGCTGTGAGCGTATGATACACGCTTCTGAGGTGACCATCTGTAGGCAGGGGACCCCAGCACAAGACCTGTGGAACACATTGCTGGGGATGTTGTGAAGGCCCAAACTATACCTGGGTTAAAAAAAGAATTAGATGAATTAGTGGAAGATAGGTCTATTAATGGCGGTTAGCCAAGGTGATCAGGGATGCAACCCCATGCCCCTGGTGTCCTAAGCCTCTAACTGCCAGAAGCTGGGATTGGATGCCGGGGGTGAATCGCTCGATAATTGCTCTCTTCTGTTTATTCTTTCTAAAGAATCTGACACCGGCCACTGTCGGCTACTGGGCTAGATGGCCCATTGGTCTGAGCCAGAACGGCCGTTCTGTTGTTGTTATTCCAGAGCCAGTGTAAGAATGCTGTTTGTATTGTACATCCCCCAGCATAAGTAGTCCACACCCAGGGCACTGAGCCGGGCTAGCCACATTATCACGGGTATTTCGGACAATGAGCCAATTGCATCCCTGCTGTAACTCTAGTGACTTCGGTGGTGCTACATGAGAGGTGAATTTGGCCCACTGTGTTCAGAAGCAGTTCGTTGGGAAAATAAAATATTCAGAAATGAGGCACTGGCCCCTGTCATGGGCTGCGTGAAAACAGAGGCACAGAATGGCTGGACTTGGTCTGGAAAATTCTTTCATTTTCCTCGCATCATAACACACTCAGGGCCTGCTCCTGTAACCACAGGCCCAAGCTTAGAGCTTGCTGCTGGAGGGAGGAGAAAGGCTCCAGCACACAATCACTCCTTGGAATTCCATCTCCTTCAGCTCGAGCCCCTCAGCATCACCTCGCCCCAGCCAAAAGGGGGCAGTAAAATGGCGGTGATAAAGCTCTGCTGTGTTGAGGAATGGGCCTGGTCTGTAGCCAGGGGATGCTTTGTATGAAGTACTCAGGTAAGGGCAGCTTCTCAGGCAGTCACAGCACAGGACTCACATAGCCTGATTCTAATGAGTACTTCAACATGAATGGACAGTGCCTGGTTATTTGGCTTTCTTTACATTGCCAGACAGACGAATGAGGAATGAAGGGGCATGTATTGATGTAGGACTTGGGTAGCCGAGTCCAGGCAATGACATTGAATAGGAACGACATTGTGGATAATGACCTGCTGATTGCACTGCAGCTGTCCCTCTTTATCAGAATAGCCTTATTAAACCTTTGCTTCAAAACCATGACAGTTGTCTTAGTCATGCCCAATTAAATAGCCATTCAGCAAGAGTATGGAAGAAAAAGCCTACAGCAAACAAGTTGCTCTTATAACTAGGGCTTTATTTTTTTGTGGGTGTTTTTTTTTTTTTTTTTGGCATTGTCTGCTTGAACAAAAGCACCTCATAAAGGATTTCATTTCTTAATACAGCTCCTCCTGGCCTGACCTGCTCAGAGAACACACAGAATGTGGCCCTACCCTGGTGGGGTTGTAGCTGCAAATTCTGACCTCAGAGCCGAGCGCTGCAGGGGTGCAGATAGTTACGTTTACTCAAACAGCAGCCTTTTAAATAACATGGCAAATGCTTAATGGACAGTCCTTTTACCACTATTGCTGCTTGTATTGTAAAGGTGCATTCTAGGCCTAGCCCTCTGCACGCTGTGCTGTATGGTTAGTGTTTGCCCTTCAGATAAGTCAACAGCTAGATAGTCGATCCTGAGCATTAAAGAGGCTTACAGATGTCACGGCTGCAGCAGGGAGAGGAGGCCTCAAAGGCAGGCGGTTTGTGTTACCGGCGCAGGGGAGCGTTACATGACACATTTGGTTACTTTTTTTGCTCTTTCTTAAGCCAAAGGCAGAATGAATTGAAGTGATGTAATCACCGGGTTCGGGGCTGAGGTTGCTGCAGACGGAAGTTTGGCATAAATGTGCCAGTGAGTGATGGGGAGGGAGAATGGGCAGTGCAGGGGGTTAGTGATAATATTTAGCCTTTTTCCTGCTCAAAGCACTTTACAGCCCTTGGTTAATGAATCTGTACAAATTAGAGGTGCAAAGTATCAGAGGGGTAGCCGTGTTAGTCTGGATCTGTAAAAAGCGACAGAGTCCTGTGGCACCTTATAGACTAACAGACGTATTGGAGCATAAGCTTTCATGGGTGAATACCCACTTCGTCAGATGCATCTGATGAAGTGGGTATTCACCCACAAAAGCTTATGCTCCAATACGTCTGTTAGTCTATAAGGTGCCACAGGACTCTTTGTCGCTTATTAGAGGTGCAGAATCTGATTCCGTCTGTGGCATTGGACTTCACTGGCCTGTCTCAAGTTTCAGAGCTTGGCTTCGAAGTTCCTGGCTACGTGTCTTCCATTGAGATCGCTAGCCCTGGCCTCGGCTCACATCCTCAGAACGCACCATGCCTCTTTAAGGAGAAATGCTTTTCATTACACTAGCTTTCCCCTCTGCACTTCTCATGTCAGCCACATGACCTAAGTACATTACAGGAGTATGGTACTAGTCTAGGCCCATAGGCACCTAAATAATTTGAGGATTGGGGCCTAACAGCCAATGGGAGCAGCATCAGGCCACAGGTCACCTCCTGGAAGAGTCCTAAGAGCTAAATAAGTGGGTATGTAGGTGTATTAGAGAAGTGGTGCAGGGAAACTTCTGTACCACCTGCCTGGCTTTAGTCACTGCTCATGTCATTCTTTCTTCCAAAAGCCCCGCACCTCAGCACCTCCTGACAAACAGATGTGGATAATAAATAAACGAGAGCGTGCAGAATCACTGCAGACTGAATGAATTTGCTGTGGCACAAGGAGAAAATACATGGGAGCAAATAGTGGCAGTAAATGGATCTTTTGCCTACTGAACATTGTTGTATAGATTCAGTGCTGCAGTGTCTTAACATCCTCTCTTCTTTTTCTTGATACGTAGGTCGCACTGCACAGGCAGTTGCAGTTCGAGCCAAGGCATTTGGATTCAGTGTGATATTTTACGACCCATATCTGCAGGATGGGATAGAAAGGTCTCTGGGCGTCCAGCGAGTCTACACACTCCAGGACCTGCTATATCAGAGTGACTGTGTATCGTTGCACTGTAACCTTAATGAACATAATCACCACCTTATCAATGACTTCACGATTAAGCAGGTAATTTATCTTTTCTATAAAAGAAAGAAGATCATTTTATGGTTCGTGCTGAAAACCCAGAACACTATCATAGTGATGATACCAGTGATGATTTTACCTTTGAGTAGTTAGTTACATCTGTCTCTTGCACATTAGGTGCCAGGTGATAGCAGGTAAGAGAGCCCCTTCATGCAGTTGCTAAGACAGAAACAGGAGCCTATTTTGTGTAACATTACAAACTAGAGCTTAGGCTTTTGAAATAAAAGCCTTTGTTAGTAAGCGAACACAAGAACCTCCTTGCTAGCTTGGAAGGTTTTCTTTTGGGGTTAATCCTACACTATGCAACCTTGCGTAGTCAATATGCAAAACATATGTGTTCAGAGGTAATCTTTTCAGCAAGGAAAATCTGCCTGTATTTACCATATAAAGTGTTCTGAGATTCTGCATACAGTGCTTGTACCTACTGTAGCATTTAAATCCATGTCATGAGAAGTGAGGAGTCATTGAATAACCATATTGAATATTCTCTTATTTCTTCCTGGCTTCCATCAGATGAGGCAGGGAGCATTCCTAGTAAACACAGCACGCGGTGGGCTTGTGGACGAGAAAGCCTTAACTCAAGCCCTGAAGGAAGGAAGGATACGAGGAGCAGCGCTTGATGTGCATGAATCAGAGCCATTTAGGTAAACAATGGGGTTTTTTTGTTTTGTTTTTAAATTAAAAGCTACCTATACATAGTGCAGTTAATTCACTTTTCATCTTACAGCTATTTTAGGGCTCACATTTATTCCCATTGACACCAGCTCCCGCGATTGGGCCCTGTGAATGTTGAGACTAGAATTCCTAGTGCTATGAAAGAGAAAACAGTAAGCATTGTTCTAGAACCAGTAATCCAAGGAAGTCTTGAGACCATTAATAATTTAAAATTTTGGTTTAAAAACAAAGTTGAAAAGGGACCGTGTCAGGTTAAAAGTCCTGTTTCACTACAGAGAATGCTCCACTGGACAATGAAAATAAACATGAAGATTTCACTTTCTGACACTAGCACAAATCTGCTACGTTTGCAGTGCAGACACTACAGGAGAATATTTGTTTATAAATGCAAATGAAAACTGTTACTGCAAATCACGGACATATTTCTGTTGACGGTTTTGAGAAAGCTTTCTCTTTATTTATATACGTATAACTCTATACAAACTTACAAACTCAAGTGCTTAAATGACCTGACCGTGTCTCTTCAAGTCTCCAGCGTTAGTGACTTTGCTCCTTCAGTCCATAGTGTAGGAGAAGAAACACTGCTGGAGCCAGATGAATTATGGTTGCTTCTAGAGAGACGCCCAGTCATTTATCTCCTCATTAATACTAGTGATGGAAGTATTAAAATCAGTCATCCAGCAGGTTTATAAAAGGCTGTCAAATCCACCTGCCCTTTTTATCACAACTGCTAATAAATTTTTCAGCACTGATGCAAAGTCCAAAATGCCCCCTGAAGCCCGGCACTAAAGTAGCATTTCAGCACCTCTTCCCCCAATGCCAGACACCACTCAACAGTTTCAGACCAGAGGGAGAACCCATGGTGTTCCATGTTCACTACATTTGCTGAGGCTGTAAATCATGTGGCTAGAGCAGAGTGGCTTGCATGTGAAGGAAGCTGGCCATTAGGTTGTCATGATTTGTAACTTTCACCCTGATTTTTCATATTTATATAGTTTTGCTCAAGGCCCATTGAAAGATGCTCCTAATTTAATTTGTACTCCGCACACTGCTTGGTACAGCGAGCAGGCATCCCTAGAGATGAGAGAGGCTGCTGCTACTGAAATCCGTCGCGCAATCACAGGTATCTAACTCTGTCTTTTTATCTTACGCATATTCTATTTAGCCTATGTTTATTTTGTAATAGACAGCATGAGTCAATGGATTGGACAAGGAGCCAGGAGCCCTGGTTTCTAAACCTGGCTTTACCAGAGTCGCTGTTACATTGGACAGTTCATATATGGCCCAATTGAAACGGGTGCTGAGCACCCACAGCTCTTACCGAAGTCAGTGGGCATTCATCATTACTCCCATTTTACCAGTGGGGAAGGTACCAAATCATGAACCTCTCCATGACTTGTGCGAAATGATCCTCACTCCCTTTGTGTAAAGCACTGTCGGCCGATAAGTGTTATTGGTATTGCACACAGTGCAGCTTTATGAACGGCGCAGCACGTGGCTGCCTGGCTGACACAGACCGTGTGTAAGTAGGGGTAATTTTAATCATTGCCACTTTTAAAGCAACAAACCAGGACTGTAGAAAAATAACCTTTGATGTCCTATGCTCTGATAAATCAGAATAATTGTGCAGTGACTGTCAGAGGGCTTTGGTGTCCCAAGGCCTCCAGGCACTTTAACCATAAAGCACTACATGTCCCAGCTAAACCCTCACAGTCACCATAGAGCAAAAAGGAAATGCCAGAGATCCAGCCCCCAACTTCCCTCGTGCCTTTAGAGCAGATAACACGAGCACATAATTGAGGAGACCAGGAGGGCTTGAGCCTTAGCCAGCCGTATTCCACCCAGTCATCGTAGTCACCCAGCATTGAAGAGAAGAAGGCTGTGCCACAGGAGCACCTGGTGTGGGCAGCGTACCAACCAATGTAACCTAGGGCAGCCATGAGGTTATACTGGCAAGTGAATTGGGAACCAGCCCTAGGTCAGAGGACTACAAGGGTAAAATAAAGCCACCTATGCCCCAAAACCTCACTCTGTGGGTCTTGCTGCAGTCACAGCTGAACTTGACCCAAGAATTGGGCCCATTATATATATATAACATTACAGCAAAACTTTGGCTCTCACACTTCATCTTGCAACGGAAGCTATTTATCTTAGGTGGTGCCAAAGCTTGTTGCCTAGATGCATCTCTGAAATCAGCAGAAAGTCAAGTTACAGGCTTTTCTTTTTTCCGCAATAGAGGCACAGTAGCCTGCTATGCTGAACTGCTATTCTGGCTCCAAAAACACTGCTGGGTTCTCCAAACCGTTCCACGCTGTTTGTGGAATGTGATTTTTCCTTCACACTAGCAATTGCAGTAGAAATCAGTAAACAGTAGCGCAATTGTATCTTGATAAGGCCATAAGTTGCTTAACACTTCTTTAACTTTAATAACTATATTCCAGGTCGCATCCCAGAAAGCCTAAGAAACTGCGTGAACAAGGAATTCTTTGTCACAACAGCCCCATGGTCAGTAATAGATCAGCAAGCACTTCATCCAGAGCTCAATGGTGCCACATACAGGTAAGATGGAGAAAAGTATTTTCACAGCTGTTTGATACAGACTGGAATTCCATATGCAGTGACAATGCTGCTAGTAACTATTGCTAAAAAAAATAACCTCTGTGGCTTTGACTAGGTAGAGGAACTGTGTGTGTAGTCATTCAGCAGGAGTTATCAGCACTGCTCAAGTTACTTATTCTATAGTGAGCTTAGTTTATTTTACACATTTATTCCATTGAGATATCACAGCAGCTGCTAACGATGCATCTCCATAAATGGCCCGTACACAGAATCTCTCTAGATTTGTTCTGTAGTTCTGTCGAAGGGCTTCAGGCAGTCTTAAGCTAATCTGTTTAATCTAGCCATTCATACCATGCTCATCACCGTGGCCTAAGAAGCGGATGGAAAACTTGAGACTCAGTGCATTATTCTTACTAAAAATACCCCCAAGACTTTCTATAAGGAGCTGTGGAGCTTTTGCAGAGCAGGGGGTGGAACAATCAGAAATACTTACAAATAAAAATATAGGCACTGTACAGGAAACAGCCTGTGCCTTTTATTCACAAAGACAGAAGTGTGCGGTTGGGGGTCCCAGGGGAGTGTATCTGGGGAGGAAGATGGGACTTGAGGCAAAGGCTCAGATGGGCACAGGATTTTGAGAGAGAAATACTCAGCAGAGGCTTTGCCATACTGCTTCTAATATCAGCACCATGCAGATCATGTTATACATTAGTACTCTGATATGTTGTTGGGATACTGTTGGGTCACATACTTAGGCCAAGATTTTCAGAGGTAAGAGGCTTAATGCTAGACTTTTAAATCCATATTTAGGCACCTAGATTTTCAACAGTGCTGAGCACCCAGCAGTTTCCATGAGGTTTTACAGTCTTGGTTTTAGGTGTATAGAAACAAGCTCTTACAAAACCCGAGGCCAGGAGGCCAAGATTTAAAAAAAAACTCCCTGTGTTTATTTTAAATTACTAGACATTCCCCTGCAGTGTTTGTAACCAGAATACTGCAGCATGGTGGTAGGGAATGAGAACTGGAAAATGAAACTGATTTCCCAATTTTCTTTGTCCAAACTGAGAGAAATGCAAAAAAAGTAATTCAATGTCATAAACAGCAGAAAGTAAATGAGGCTTTTAAAGTGCTTCCAGTTTCCGTGTAAGCTGGGTTTAGTAACTAAGGTTACTGTGTTTTATGAAGATACAATTTGACAGTGTCCCTGTTTAAGTGGATAATTCTACTGGAAGTAGGTATCTGAAGAATGAGATTAATTCTAGCTCATTCATCCTCCTCGCTTCTATAGGCCCTCCCGCAGCACACGTACTAAGGAACCCCCCTCAGCCAGATTATAAAATCCACATATGGGGCCAGATCCTGGCCTTTATTATAGCTGCTTTGCATATCACAATGGCACTTTGCTACTGAGTGGTTGGCCAAGGCTGTATATTATTCCATTATGGGCTACAGCTTAATTGTACTAGAAAATAGTATCAAAATAGAGTCGTTCATGTTTGTATTATTTTAAAAGGGGAGGCAATTAGAACAGTCAGTAAAATGTCCATAGCCAGTTGTGTAGTTAACTTATGCCACAGTAACCAAAGCGGGGAGGAAATGAAGGAGTAAAATAGTTTGCTTTTCAACTCTTTACAAAACGCTCATCATTAAGCATGAATGAGGCAGTTCAGACAACAGTGGTGTCATACACAGTACAAAACAAATGTTGAGATAGATTCCACTGTTGCCTGGAGTGACTCATTTTATTTGGACTATCTACAAAACTAGTCATGACTCTGTTGGAGAATATAGAATTTAGCATCAAAAAGTAACCAGAACGTTACATTTGGGCTGTCTCGTAATTGCATTGAGATGTGCCATATCAGAGTGCGTAACGTATTGTGCTTACAGGCTGTTGCTTTTGCTGTTTAACTTACACCATTTTTACAGTGTGTACCACACACACTGCTTATTGTGTAACACATTTAGATACCGTGAATCAGATATGTGTACTCTGAACATATGATGTACAGCACAGATTGCTAACAATATATTTTCATTGGTGTAGATCAGCCACTTTTGGAGTATGCTTGCCCACTGTAAAGTATGAGCGCATTTTTCAGGTGTAGCAGTAGAGGCCAGGATACCAGGTATTTTAATGAGATGCAACATGTGTGTGTCCACAGCGTGTGTTGGGTGAGTTGGTTTGTTTTTGCTCATGAGCAAAGTTAACATTTGAAGCCACAACTTGGAAAATGTGGCCAACATGGACCAAACTTTTTAGCACAGTTGGTCTAATTTAGGATCAAGATCCTTGTGCCAGTGGAACTAAGAAGTCATAATTGACAATGGCCTTTTCTTCCCCCATCAATTAGGATGAAACCATCTACTTCCCTTCTCACCTTCACCTCTGAGTTCCATGTAAGTCTAACCCTGCTCCTGAAATTTCTTACCCACATCTTTTCTTTTAGCCCTTGCCCTCTCCACTTCATACCGAAGCTACTATTAACTTCATCTGAATGGCTGCCTCTCCCTCCTCAGTCTCTTTGAGCTGTTGTCACTTCGTAGAGTCTGTTGCATCCCCCTCTTTTGCACTTTCCTTCTGGAACATACTCGGCTCTTCCCTTTGTGACTGCTCCTCTGATGGAAGGGACTTCATGCTTGGCCCTTGCTCCGGTTTTACACGTGTTTTTGATGCCTTAGTTTCAGCTCTCCCCTCCATACTGATGACTTACAGATCTTTCTCCATCAGACTCATCTTGTATTTCTTCCTAGCTGTCACATTTCCTTTGCAAGCTCAGAATCGGTTCTGCTCTCCATCTACATCTCTTCCTCTCTTTATTATGGTTGAAAATGCCACCACCCTCTAGCACCTAAGCTATCATCATGATTTTGCTTTTGCTGCCTCTCCCCACCTCAGGATTCGAGTGAGATCATGTCGTCTTTCTTTCCCTCTCTAACATCTCTCCTGTCCCCTCCATCTCTGATCCATGCCTTGGTTATCTCATCTTGTCTACTATAAACTCCACCAGTCTGCCCTCTGTGTTTATCACCGTATGCCCTGCCAGAGTATGACTGCATTATTGGCTCCTGCCCCTTTACCCCATCGTTCTTCTTCATACTAAGCTCAAGGTATTTGTCCTTGTCCTCTTTCAAGGTTCTGCATCATTCCCCCTCTGCATACATCTCATCTTACAAGCCCTATCGCTCGCTGTGTTCCTTCCTACTTTTAGCTTTGCACCATTTATTAGCCCCATGCCTGAACACAAACTGTGCTCTAGATCCTGGCTTCTGATACAGCCCCCCTACTACACTAGTTCAAATAAGACCGTAAAGCAGCCCTAATTAGACAGCCGAGGGGAATTCTAGGCAGCATGGAGAGGTTCTGGCAGGAGGCATGGTTAGTGCATTGCTACTTTCTAGAACCTGGCTGGCATAATAGCTGCTATCCCACAGTGAGCACAATACTCAGCAGCTCTCCCATCCAGGTGTAGCTGCAGTATGCTCCCTGCAGCCCAGAAATTCTCCTAAGCATTGCCAGCACCTATGTCAGCTAACCCAAAATTCCTCCCTCTAACATCCCTTGGCTCTTCCCTATAAATGCAGCCATTGAAATGTTTTTCTGGGCCTTTAAAGCAGTGTAAGCTTTTCCAACGTTCATGCCCCTGGAAAGGATTGAATTCAAAGGTATTTGCTACACCTGTCACATCTTACATGAAAAATACGCTGTTACCAGACTTTTATTCATCAGTCAGAGTTAAGAATATTTATGGCTAAAATTGTGTGTCCTCATGACCTTTGGCTGTCCCACAGATATACAGCCCATGTATATCAACTCCATAGCCACAGTAGAATACAAGCTGTGTGTTCAATTTATTACCTTCCCATGAAACATTTAGCTCCATAAGCATGGTTCAAACTGTTAGTTGCCCACTTTTACAAGAGTCATTTTCAGAAGACTGACTTCAGTGAAATGTTTGCATGGTAATAATGGTCCACCGGATGTTTTTCCCTTTAGAAGAGATTACGCTAATATAGTTAGAATATCTTCGTGTGTCTCCGTGATATAGCACACCTGGTGCAAGTTAGGGACCTCATTGAGCTCACTTTCACATACAGCCTGCTGCCAGGCTACATTCTTGTACCATAAAATGTATCTCAGACAATACGTTAACATGAGGCCAGTAGATTTGTTCAGATCCTTCCTAAGTGAGAAGCTGATTTCTATGGTTAAGACAGCTGAAAAAACAGAATGGGGTAGTTGTGGTGTCAATAGGAAAGCTCAGCTTGGGCAACTATGAGTTAATTTAAAAAAAAAATAATGCATAAAGCCTGTGCGCTAACAATATGCAAAATTAAGCACATCAGGTAAAGGATTGCAACTAACTGGCTGGCACGATGCAAGACAAAAAAGGGTAGTGAAGTATGATACCTGATGGTGAAGGAAGCCTTGGTTGCATTTTAAATATTCAATACATTTATTTTTCCTTTCTCTCCCCCCCATCCCCCAACAGTTTTACCCAATTCAAATAGAAGTTTTTCAGTTCTTGCCTTACTTCCTGCTAGCTGGGCATGGGAATTGTCCCTTAAGTTACAATGGTAGTGCTGTTTACAGAGACTGATCTCCTTCTCTACACTAGAAGAGATTAAACATGGAATAATACCCTAAATAAAGTTTGAAATAACATTTATATAAACACTTCGGTAACAACAAATGCTGAAAGCATTTTCCTCCTACTTTTTCACCCCCTCACCCCCACAGCCTAGTGGATTTTTTTTTATAATAGAGGAAGTGCTCTTCTTCACCCATTAAAGTCTTCATCAGTTACAAGGTATGGCTGTAAATCACACCAGTCCATATTCAGGGATCTTTTCACATCAGCGCCTAGTGGCCACTAGTGTATCTACTGAAGGACTTTCAGGTTCTGTATAAAGGCTAAAGCCTCATTCCATTTCCTTATAAATTTATCATTTAAGTAGTTTTGTGTCAAGGGCTACTGCAATGTTATTGCCTCAAAAAAATCTTGATATGGAGGTATGTATTTAATCTGTGAAGGTGTATTGGCATGACTGTTACTATCACTACACCAGTGGATAGAGACTACGCCAGCTGCAGTTTGTTTCTCCCTGTCTGATCATAGCTCCCTTGAAGTGATGTGGAAAATAAATGTGCACAGCCCTAGCTGGACTATTTTACTTTAAAAATTAGTTCAACTTTAAGCTTTTGAGCAAACAGTAGGTTTTAGTTTTTTTTAAAAATGTCTTAGGTATTAAAATAGTTACACCTTGCTGCGTGTTTTGGTGAATTATAGACACCACAACACAGGTAATTTGTTCTGGTTATTCCTTAATACATGTCTTTCTACAGTATTTTTGCCTATTGGTGTCATTACCTGTTTCTTCCTAGATATCCACCTGGCATGGTCAGTGTCGCACCTGGAGGGATTCCAGCAGCAATGGAGGGCATCATACCTGGAGGCATTCCCGTCACCCACAATCTTCCAACAGTGGCACACCCTTCCCAAGCTCCATCTCCTAACCAGCCCACAAAACATGGGGACAACAGGGAGCACCCTAATGAGCAATAGCAGCTAATTTAAAAATTATTCAATAAACTTGGGACCAAGAGACATTGGAAAAAAAAAGTTATACAGGAACTAAAAAAGGAATTTGATACAAAATTTGTAATGTTGATTTTGGACAGATGCATCATTGATGTTCCAGTGTTAACTACAATGCGATAGCAGTCAAGACTGGGGAGAAACCCTGAAGAAGTCACCTGCTTTACTGAAGTACTGACAACTAGGATGATATACATTAATGATCAGCTTCGGTTACTGTGTGTTAAGTTTCCTTCATCTGTGCATCAAATCACAAGAATAAAATAGATTTCCCCTTCTCAGCCCTTGGGAATAAAGGGGCCTATTCACCTGTATTTACAGTGTTGCATCAAGCAAACCTGAAAGAGTTAACATAAGAAATTTAAGAGGAAACCATCATGTGGATTCAGCCCCTTCTTTATTCAATTGTCTAGTTACCTCTTTTTACAGGAGGAGAAAATACTGGCCTAGAGATGAGAAAAAAAATGTCTTGGTGCAGTCCTAACTGGCCAGTAATATATATTGAGAGTTCTCTTAATAACGTTTTAATTATAGCCATTCAGGCCAGGAAGGTTAGGATGCGGAAAAAAAGTGTCAGTTAAATAGCTCCCCTCCTAAAACATGAAAGTAGAAATGTTTCTCTCATCTGACCGACACACTGAATAAAGTAGCTGTAAATTCAGTTATGCCCCCCAGGGATGCAAAAAAAAAAAAAGTAGTAAGTTTCTCACACTATTTGTACTCAAATATATTTTCTCAGTTTTAAATCTGCAGCTATTTTATCGAGTGCAAACGTCTTGAGCTGGAAAGGGTTCAAGAAGAATAATGTTGCATTTCCTTATGTCTCAGGAAACACTTTTTATGGTAACTTGTCAGACTGTATGAACAAAACCCACTTTTTTAGACATTGATAAGAGTCTTCTTTTCTTCACGTGATATTTTATACAAGGACACTTCAAAAATGTGTTATTAGATGTGACTGATTTTAACAAATCCTATTAGATTTGTATCAACTAGTTACATGTTATATTCATAGTCTTTTGTGAATCATCGCCTTTTTGTTTATAAAGATGGCCTGTTTTGAGCCTTTGTATGGGGGGGGGTTACATTCCTGTTTCTGTGACAAAAAAAAAAAAAAATATCGTAAACTGTCCCAAACAGAAAGAACAATGGCTATCAGAAGTATGTTTTGTTTTAGTGTGTTACCGTTATTGTATTTGTTTATTGTGAAAGTGGACATTTAGCGTTCAGTGCAGTTTTCAATAAAAAGTGATAAAATTTCTATAATTTCTGAAATGTAGAGCCCTCAATGCAATTTTAATATGCTTAAAAATAGAAACCCTTTGAGAATGTAAAGTAAGTCATAAATGTGATCAGAACAGCATTAGTCCCCACCTCTTAAAAAGACATCATGGCTGCACAACTCACAGTGAGGCAGGGCAGATCTTCAGCTGCTATAAATTGTTACAGCTCTATGACAATTTACAGCAGTTGAGGATCTGCCCTGAGGTTTCTATTCCACATGTAGATATTTATAATTTAGAAATTCTGGAGAAACTCAATTTAACCTTGCTGATTCCTTAGTCAGTTCAGTTTTAGAAAAACTCGCCTGTGTTACTTTCTACCCCATGATTTTTTACTTCTCAAAAAAATGCATTTTGGATACCTACCTTGCTAATATTTAAATTCTGTGCAACTTTCATTTACCCTACATATTAAAGAAACTCACCCTCGTGAACATTGTGCTTTGGGAAGGAGCTAGCCCTTGGCTGTACAACCTTTTAATAAGTGTTAACACTTATCTACACTAGACAGAGAAAATGTTAAACTTGATTCTCTAGAAACTTGCTAAGTCTGAGCACTAGCAGCTTCAAACTTCACTGCATGGAGGGTCCATCCTTGTATTAATGCCAACATCCACTTGAATAGATGGGGCAAATAACTGGACATGGGGAAAAAACAATTGAAACCAAGAAGTTTCTAGTTACAAAACTGTATTTTTGTTTGTTTTAAATTAAATGGAAAGCTATTTACCAGCTTCAAACATGTTACAAAGAGGTCACATTTCATAGCTGTGTGACTATCCTTTTGTCAATGATCTAACATAGCAAGTATGAATGATTATCCATAAACACCAGCATAGAGAAACCAGGAGAATAAAACAGGTTAGTTAGAGAGAGGACATTTGGGAAACATGAAAATGAAGATAAAACATTTAATTCATGTTGTCAAGATTTAAAGTGACTATTTTAAAAATAACTTGTTGGTACTGTCGTTTTTTAAAATAAGCAGTTGCATTTCAGATGGGTGTAAACACTGTTCTAGGAAACAGAATAATTTGTGCCAGTGGTTCCTAGTGCATCCATTGCCAGCAGTGGATTTTGAATCAGGAAAATAAGAGTCCTGGCACAAACCTTTCAGAGAATGGCAGATGCTGTAGACTTTCATCCAGTACTTATAAAAATAAGACTAGATGCAAATCATAGCAAACTTAGACAATAGCTTCCAATTAAGTTTTACAGTTCAACAAGAACTAAAAATGAATTTAAAAAATCCAAGTGTTACAAAGTATCATAGTAACAGGCTTCAGTTTAAAAACAACACTGTACTTCTGGGGTTGTGACCAGTATAGAGGGATTCAACTGTCTGTAGTACAAACACCAACAAAATATGCAAGGAGTAGGTCATATGGAGATGGGGAGAATGTGAATCCAGCCTGACTTGACATATTACTGGGTCCAAAGCAAGGTGACTGTAGTATGCCTCAAGTTTTTTCAGACTGAAAAGTTAGTATGCAAGGGGAGGGGAGAGAAATGTATGCCAGATAGCTGCTGCTCAAGATTTGTGCCTTTTGCTTTACTGACAAACCAATTTACTGCTGCTTTTGTACTAATACAAGGAAGGCTGGGGGCGCTTCCATCAATCAAGGATAACATGAAGCAGTTCATACAAGTAACAAAAATGTGACTGTGCTGATAAAACTGGCATTTTTAAAAAAAAAAAAAAGTGTCACCACTTCATACAGTAAAGCTCACAGAAGTTACTTCTCCTTAAGCAGTTAATTAAGCAACACAACAAGAATTCTGCATTCTTCAAAATGAACAGCAATACTACTTTGCTAAGGGAGTATGAAACATTCTAGTAATGCTGGTTAAAAGCTATACTGTAGCAGCACTCTGGATGATTTCAGCATGCCCTGGTTTAACAAAAGCGACCCAGGAATTAAATTCTAGTAAGGAATTCATGACTAGTCCAAGACAATTCCCAGATGCAGAGGGGGCAAGAGTTTGAAATGAAAAACCAAGTACTGGGCTATGTAAGCATTCAACAGTAAAAAGCCAAGTGGTAAATTTAATATAGACTGGGTCAATATAGGACTTACCCACCAACTGCACATACGTGTTCGTAAACCTTCAAGTATGTCAAATGGGGAGATTTAATGTACACTGGCTACCATGCTGGGAAAAGGACAATTGTTTACACCTTCATCTACTGTAGTGGGTGAGATGCACTGTCAACAGATAAACCCCCAACTCATTTAACTAGGGATTTTTGTTTAACAAGTCTCACTTAATTTTGAAAACACAGTGAGGCTTGTTAGCCTGAACCTGTCCTTTTATAGATTAGAAGAAAGCAGTAATGGTTAATAAAACTCTACAAAAAGTATGAAGGGTGTCAATTTGTAACAAAAGTGGGGCATAGATATTAGACAGTGTGGGGTTTGGTTTGCTTTTCAAAATCAAAAGCTGTAATTGCTTGTATAGTAAACTTACATTAAATCTCTTTAACAATGAAAGGATGTTCATTTCTTCAAAGGAACTCAAATTTGGGTACAGTCCACCCGTACTGTTGGAGGCAAGATAAGGCTTGCTTTTGCAACAATTTGGTTGGAGAATGGCAGAATAATGAATAAAGGTTAAAAACTATTTCACAAGGAAGGTATTTGAATCTTGCTTCTTATGACTTGCAGTAACTGTGTCATCTGGGGGAAGATATGTCAATGAAGCAAAGTGTTATCTGCTGTTTGTGTGTTTGTCAACACCATTCACATAGCATACTGAAATGAATGCATGAGCTCTTAACTTAAGTTACTCATTGGTCATGGTACACATGGATTTCACTGTAAGGTAACATCATCATCTTGGAAGAATGAGGACAAGGTATCAATCTACCCGACTACTGCATTTAGAAAACAAACTGAAATCAAGATTGTATGTTAAGGTAGAACCTGTTCACTATCTGTGATTCTTCTATTTTCACTCAGGTAATTCATACATATACTGCAAAGAAACATGCATTCTTTTACCTGAAAATCTATGCATGCACCAATCAAAGGAGACCTAAATGGCCAAAAGTGTGAAGACACATTTCATAATAAATGTCAATGGAATCTGAGAGGGAAAAAATTGCTAACTTAATACAGCACTTCATTAGTTCTATATTTTTGGTGTTTTGTCACCAAGATTATCTAGGAGTTGTGCACATTTCAATACCATCTAAAGCAGCATTTGGAAGAAAAAGCAGCAAGTTCTTTAGTGTTTCCATAGCCTTAAACTACACAAAAATATGCACTTTATGGGTCTTCTTTTGAAATTCTAGGTCATCTACTGCAAAGTTCCCTATCCATCAGCCACGCACTCACACTATCAATAGTTTTCAAAGTGCTTATTAAAGAAGATCTGAATTGCATTGTATATGTAAAAAACTGGCATCAACCTTCAGTGTTTCTAAGCAAGGTTGTTTTAAGATAAACTTTAGCCATTACGAATTGCATGGCTGAAGTTTATCACATATAATAAAATTTCTACTGATGAATATACTCTGGACTTAGACTTTTATGAACCTTACATATTAAGTATGGCCACAAAAGTCAACATGCAAGAAATTCCCAGGTTTACATAGAGAAATATATTATACGGTGCTTTTTTTAAAAAGCCACTTTTAATTAAAAAAAAAAAAAAACTTCATTCTAAATTGCCAAGAGTTCTCACTAATGATCAAGGAGTGCCCCTAGTAAAAGGTAGTTTTCACTTGCAATGTTTAACTAGGGTGAAAGACTCACATATCACAGCAAGACTCGGTTTGGACAATATGAAATTCTCAAATCACACTTGAGTTGGCAACTCCACGCAATTGTTTAGTATGTAATCTCTGGCATAACATTTTAGGTCACTTTTCTAAATAAATATTTCAAGCATACTGAAGAAAGTATTAAATGTTACAAGGTGAAATATTAATAGAGAGCAGAAAGGACTTTTTCAGAAAACAAAATATAAGTTCACTCAATGAAAAATGTAGCTCTTCTTCCACAGTTTGTTCCTTAAAGATTTGATTTTATTATAATGGGCACAACAGTAACTAAAATATTAATAAAATAATGAACTTTGTTTGTACTTCTGACTTGCTCTGGATAGTTTGTGCAAACAAAAAAATAAACCTCACCATCTGACCTGGGCACTAGTGAGATCTCACAAAATGGCCTTTCAAGAAAATGTGTCAGAATATTTAAAGAGTGATGTAGAATACAAGTTCTACTGTAAAAGTAAATCTCAAAAGGAACAAATATCCATCTAACATGTGCTTTTGTAAGTGCCCTTATTTGAAAGAAATTTCTTCTCAATAATTAAGATGCTGGTATACTTTTTTCCTATTACACAACTTCTTACACAACCACATGCGATACATTTATAGACAGATTTGCAACTGGAAAGAAACAAATGTTTTGTCTTGATAATAAAATTAGTTTTTTGTTTTTGTTTTTACAAACTGTAGTCCAACCAATTTAGCTCTCTTCACACAGCAGATGAACCTCTATACTCTCCCCATGCTGGTAAGTAAAATCCTTTCAGCATGCTTCTGCTAGATTTAAGTCAATCCATAACAAACTGCTAGAGCACGACTCTAACTTTGGGGTCATCAGACACTATGCATTGATACTTTATTTTTATTTCATCATTCATCATCATCGTCTTCATCTTCCTCACCATCAGAAAGGGATGTACAAGGGCGAATCTGTCGGTAACGGTCAAGCCACTTCTCTACCATTTGTGTGACCAGGGGATGATTGCGGCGACGAGAGCTTTTCTGCATAGCAACAAGGACTCCACCCTCTGTCACACAGCAGTCTAGCCATTCTCTGAGCAGCTTTTCTTGCTGCTCCTCATTACCTATCTTAGGGGACAGAAAACAGACTCAGGATGAAGGTTTCAAGATTGCTGACAACTTTAAGGAAACAACCTGTGGTATATTGTGACATCTGAACTAAAGTAGTACCACTACTCTACTTAAATACCGTTAGTGGGACATAACATCTCATAATATTTATCAGGGTTTTTTTGGCTTCTATTTTTGAGAGTTTAATCTAAGTGCACACTCAGGTTTTACAAAAAAAAATTTATAATTGTTACATTAGTTCTTATACTCAATCGTACTTGCCAGTTTTCCCTCTCCCTCATCTTTCAAAAATCCATTTAAAAATAAACCTTAGTACAGTGCAAATATTGGTATGTTACCTACTATACAGAAACAGCAGACAATTCTAAAGCTGATGAGTTCTTACAAAGCGCTTGTAAATCACAAGGCAATCCTTCCAATTCTAGTAATACTCTGCTCCAAACTTCTGTTCTTGAAGACATTGTTCAAAGTTATGGCTTGCCAGGTAATATTCCCTTTATAACTAAAATTATATACTATTTCTCCTTTCTCTACATACTGGCTTCTGTGGACAAGGACCCATCTCCAAATCCTCAAATGTGGCTCTACACTTAGCTACAGTGGCTCCCTATCAGTATCAGCAAACAAGCATAGTTTAGTTAAAGCAAAGATGTAGATTATACTCTAACTCTTAGAGCCTACTGGCCAATAAATAAGTTGCACTCAATCTAGGGCTGAACTTAAATTTTTAGTTAACTGGGTGCCTATTCTAGATATATCTGGGTCCATTTCAGGGTTACTGCATTTGTATTTACATATACAGTACATTTACATTCAACTTGTAAGAAACTAAACCAAGTTCCACAGATGTGAGAAGCATCCTTTTGCACTGTCTCAAATTATGGGGAGGAGAGCAGAATCAGAAAAGGGTAGGTGTATTTAAAACTTCAAACATGTCAGACTGCAAGAGAGACCTCGTGTACTTACAAATAAGTGTGGAAAAAGTTGCCAGCCACATAAATGCTTCTTACCTCTTGAGCAGAAAGGAAGTGAATATGCAGTAATTTCCTCTCGCTGTCAACCAATGGTAAAAAAGTAATGGTAACATCATCATCAGTGTTCAAATTAGCACCAGCACCTCGATTGCCATAACCATCATTCTCCATGGCAACCAGAGCAGAGAAGTGGCCCCTTGTATAGCCCAGAGCAATAGGACTTTTCCAACAAAAACTCTGTTCCCATAACAAAGGTAAATATACACCTAGAAATAAAAGGAAAAAGGGCTAAGACACAGAACTGGAACTGGAGCCCTCTTTTACATTAAAGTGATTTTTGGTGGAGAGGGGGTTTCCAAGCTGCTTTTGTTAGCTGAATATTAACATAATATGGACATTAAAAGCACTCAACCACAATGTAGCTGTTAAAATGGATCAGGCTTTCCCAATATCATCAATCATTACTGGGTTAAGCATGAGATTACAATATACATACCCTTATCCGCTACAGTACAAGTTTATGCCTAGATTGCCCATACAGTTCCAGCTAGTACTGCAATTCCATTGCCCTTTCCACACAATAAGCAACAAGAGTAAATAATATAGCAGTAATAAGATTTCATGTTTGGTAACCCCTTAAAATATAAGAAGTTCCACAGCATAAGAGAATAAAACACTACACTTGTATTTTCATTGTTTTCTTAAACCATCAAAAATTTTGCCTTCTGCTTTCAGAAGATATTATTAAAAGAATCTTCTCGCACGCCAAGATTATGCAATACTGAAGTACATGGCAAACTTTCCCTGTCTGGCCAGACAGCCTTCATAACCTGTAGTCACACTGTATAAATGGGCTGCATCAATTATTTATTACCAAAAAGATCATACTACTTGCTTAGATAAAAGACTAGTTGAAACCTAGACTAGTTTCACATTCCAATTTCAGAAATAAAGTGAGTAAATTGCACTGCTGGGATTTTTTTCTTCTAGGAACATGCGTAATTCTTGATGCGTACTCCTGCAAGACAACTGAAGCAAAAGCATGCCTTACCTTGTGACAGTTTATAAATAGCTGTGCGTAAACCAAGTGCATATGTACCATAGCAACCTTTCGTAGCGTAGCTGCCTGCAATGTGTTAGGCAGCTATGGTTGCAACAAAATACAAGCCATATCTTTGCTCCTACAACATTCGTGGAACACTGACGCACTAAAGGACAATACTGAAAAGGGATGCTAAATATTTCTGAACAATGAAAATCAATGAACCAGTCTGCACATTTTAACACGTACTTCCAGGTACTCAGAACTGGCCATGTTTGGATTGCAAACACTACAGGGAAATATATAAAATTATTTCAATTTTCTCTGGAAATTTTTCCTATTAGATTTAGGCTTACAGATATGTGTTACTACTAACCAAGTGTCCCTTTAACATTTTGTTTAAATTAAAAATTTTTGAATTTTAAACAAATGGTCAACTTTCCATTTGATTAACCTGATTTGTAGAAAGAGATGCAGAATGAGGATGAGTTACCAAAAACAACAACAAATTTTTTTGCAATTCCTCAGAATTAATTCTGCACGCATATTTAGGCAAATGACTTCAGTAAACCAAATACTGATATTAAAAATATATGAA